ATGTCCTTCTGGTTTCGGCTCCAAGTGAGGAATAAGACATTGGAGACATGGAGGCTGCTTGGAAAGATGGTTCATTGTTGGACAGGACCACATGGCTTGAGCCCTGAACAGAAAAGGTGCTTCAATGCTTCACATGCTTCAATGTTGGTGGAGAAGAAGAGAAGGGCTGAAGGAGGGGCTTGCTAGGCTTTTTATAACCTGTTCAGTCCCACCCCTGTTTCCTGTTCCTGTGTAAGACATGTATTCTAATTGGTTGTCAGACTCCCATAGGGCCATGCAGGGGCAACTCTGTAGGCTGCGTTTTGAATCCAGGTTTGGTTGAGTTCTCAGATGTTGTGTGGTCAGTTGAGCCAATATTATCATGCTTTAATCCCATCCCCCTGGGGCTGCAGTGGAGAAGTCTTTATTATGTAAAGGGACTATCTTGGCCTTCTTAATGGCCCATTGATAAGGGGGTGGCCAGGAAGCTACAGGCAGCTATTCTGTCTTTTAAAACATGTTTCTTTCTTTTCACATCCAGAGAAATATTCTGCCTTTTCAATATTTCCTAGGATATTTCACTTTTCTGGGAGAGGGCTGGATGATAACTTCTCACACTGGCCTCTTTATTATCTTCATCCGAATCAACACATAGAGGTAATTTTTTGCATGAGCTAAGAAACTAAGCCCATAACTCCAAAGAACACAAGACTTTGTTAAAAGGGCATTCATACCATGCTTAACCATGGTTTATGCAAGCCAATTTTGCTGGGGTCACACAGCATAATGAACCATAAAGGGAGCCAGCAGAGTTTATGAAAACAGTTTTTATAGATGGCTGGCTAGTTTGTGGTTCAACATTGCCGTCGTGGTACTGTAATGCAGTCAGCATCGGAACCCGCACCTGTGGGAAAACGCTAGGATGAAGAAGTCAGGTAAGATATCCATCAACTAGGTCTAATGCTCTAAAATTAATGTCCAATAGTCTGGAGAAAGATGAACGCATCGCTGTACCCTTCCTGATCTGAAACCCATCCCCTTTGTCAGCGAGGTGCTACAGCGGATTGCCCAACATAGGGACAACCATTTCTTCCTTTCTCTTTAAAGCTCTTTACTCAATTTGTCCTAACTTCGCTTTCCCGTCGTCCCTTGCTATCCCAAGCAGAGCTGCAGAAGTCATGCAAGGAGGAGGACGCGAGAAGGTGGCTCGTTTGCTGAAGCAGCTGCAGCTGGCAGCGTGAGTGTTTGTGCCTTAGTTTCTTGCTTCTTCCTGGGAGCGTCTAGCAAAAGCAGCTTGGCTCACTTTCCACGAAATTGGAATCAGGCTTGGAAGGTTCGTTTGGGAGCACCTGGCAAAAGCAACTTGGTTTACTTTCCACGAAATTGGAATCGGATTTGGAAGCTTCGTTTCTTTGCGGCGTTAGGAAAAACAAAACCGCAGCAAACCTGTGTAAGAAAAGGCTTGAGAATTTCACAGGTTGCAAAGCCAAGTTCTGGGATAATTATCTTTGGATGCTGATACCTTAATTTACTTATTTCCATCTAGCGTCCTGCTAAGAGAGAGACAAACAGAATGCTAGTCTGTGTTTCAGAAAGTTATTTGTTCAAGCACAGAAATGGACTTTGGTTTATACGTCTAATTTTTGAAGTAAATGCAAACAAATAAAAGGGAAGAAAAGAAATTGACTTTGGTGCATTGTGAAACAGAGCAGCAACACATAGAAAAGTTGTAATTTACAAATCGAAACAAAACCTATTTATTTAATATTATTCATGTACTGAATATGTAGCTACCCTCTGCAGCATATGCACTCGGAGTAGAATTGCAATATTCTACCCAGAATATTGGGGGGGGGGGATGAAATATTGAAATATAAAATATAGAAATTAAAATGTCATAGTAACATTTTTTTTCACTGAAGAAAAATTAA